TGTGAGGACAGGAGGCCGAGCCCCGCGGACCGCAGCTCTCTCTCCCTGCTCCGGATCATCTGATCGCTGCATGGTGCAACTCAGCGTCTCTCTCTCCCTCTCTCTTTCTACACACAGCGGACCCGCTGCCCGCTTAACAGCCTAATCTTTGTCAAACTTTCTTATGTTCTTTCTTTAACGCGTAATGAAGGTTATTAAGCGTTTTAGCTCCTACGTTGTTAATATTGACCGCCATTTCCTTTATGAAGTAAAGCAGCCTCCCTGTCTGTGTCCTCGCGCTGTCCTCACATCCCCCGACCCCCAGACTCGGAGGAGCACAGGGATGTCAGTATTGTTTATGAAGCAGGGTATAGAAAATACATTATTGAAATGAAAATACTATTTATTTACTTTTACAAACAGTGAGCAGCTGGGCAGCTGGGCAGCTGCAGCATGTGTATTGCAGGACATGTGTAAGCGTGCAAGCGTCTTTGAGTTGTAGAAAAGCGCTAGGCCTATAGGCTATAAATATAATGTATTATTATTATTAGGCCTATGTGTTGGACATGTGTGGTTGGACTCTGTCTCACAGGCAGGTTGCAGTGTAACATCAGAGGAGACTTGGCCAATTGTACATTCTCAAACTGCACCACATAGAACTAACTAAACAATGCAGAGATTATTTTTATATAATTTTATTCAATAACCGTAAGAAATTAAACAGTATGAAGTGATTTGTAAATAGGAATACAGATTTGACTCGTTAAAATCCAAACTATACCCAACCCTATGTGTGATGCAGTAAAATCTTACCACTCACTTACGTTAGCGGTGTCATAAAAAACGTGGGAAAATGTAAAATACGTTGGCGAAGAAGAAGATTCCAGTGGCCCCAATTTTTGTCCATTCTGGACAAGTGAAAAATGTATTCGGACAAGTAAATTGCCAAACTCACTTGTCCATGGACAAGTACTCTCTAAAAACTTTTTCTCACACTGTATTGTAAGCCTCTATGTTGCATATTTTTACTGGTAGTATTTACAGGTTATTTTTAAATGAAATGTGTCTTTAGGATGACTTACAACATCTGTCCAGAGACTACAGATGGAAAACAGCCTCTTGGCACATTTACATATAAGTGTATTAATGTGTTCTGTCCCTGGTAAATAAAGAGGTGTAAGACTAAACATTAAAATAGATGAAATGTACTTCCCTTTCAATTGAGTAATAACTCTGTATTTATTATACGGTTCACTTTGTTGTGGAATGTATGCATTTGTGTAAATATACAGCCTTTACTCATTAGACACAGGTTGACTTTAATAACCTGCTTTGTTGTTAGAAAGTCAATCTGTTTCCTGTGGTGCATTAGCTCCTGGATGCTAACAGCTAGTCAGCAAAACGGACCAGAAAAGTAAACAAACTGATATTTAACTCTTAAAAAAAGAACCACATAGATTCTCATTCATCATCCAAGTTAATTAAACTGACCACGGAGTTTATATTCTGATACGAAAAGGCAGTAAACTAGCAGTTAGCGTCAGTTAGCTTAGCATGAGTTAGCTCCATGATGCAGCACTCAGCAGAACCGAAAGCGAGAGCTGTTTCCCGGGTTCAGTTGACCGGTTAAAAGCCCCGGTTTCTCCCGGTTTGACTCACAGTGTGTGTCGCACGGGCCCGCAGGAGATCCCGGTGCTCCCGGTGCTCCCGGACAGAGAGTAAAGCTGTCCCGGTTGGGGTCCATTCTCCCAGAAATTCAGCTTCACTCCGCAGGACTCCATGGTGGAAATTAATAACTGGAAGTGATGTCACGCCGCCGTCTTCTTGTTGGGGCAGAGGAGCCGTGTGACGTCACTGCAGCGCCATCTTGCTGTTGGGAGGAATTATTTTACAACACTTTAAAGGTGATGATTTTTATATTATACAGGTCATTTAAAGGTGTCCTATTATACTATTTTTAGGCATATATTATAGGTCTCAGATATATTAAAAACATGTCTTTTTTTTTGTTAAATTACATTTGTATTGACATTTTTATAAACGTACAAAACCACATATAGTTCCCATTGAATGACACTAAGAAAGTGGATCACATCACTCCTGTTCTGAAGTATTTACACTGGTTCCTCACTGACACTAAGAAAGTGGATCACATCACTCCAGTTCTGAAGTCTTTACACTGGTTCCTCACTGACACTAAGAAAGTGGATCACATCACTCCTGTTCTGAAGTCTTTACACTGGTTCCTCACTAACACTAAGAAAGTGGATCACATCAGTCCTGTTCTGAAGTCTTTACACTGGTTCCTCACTGACACTAAGAAAGTGGATCACATCACTCCAGTTCTGAAGTCTTTACACTGGTTCCTCAATGACACTAAGAAAGTGGATCACATCAGTCCTGTTCTGAAGTCTTTACACTGGTTCCTCACTGACACTAAGAAAGTGAATCACTCCTGTTCTGAAGTCTTTACACTGGTTCCTCACTGACACTAAGAAAGTGGATCACTCCTGTTCTGAAGTCTTTACACTGGTTCCTCACTAACACTAAGAAAGTGGATCACATCAATCCAGTTCTAAAGTCTTTACACTGGCTTCCTGGGTGTCAAATAACTGATTTCAAAATACTGCTGCTGGTTTATAAAGCTTTGAATGGTTTAGGCCCAAAATACATTTCTGATCTCCTGCTAAATGATGAACCATCCAGATCTCTCAGGTCTTCAGGGACTTGTCAGCTTTCTGTCCCCAGAGTCAGAACTAAACATGGAGAAGCAGCGTTCAGTTATTATGCTCCAAATATCTGGGACAAACTCTCAGAAACCTGACGGTCCGCTGCAACTCTGACTACTTTTAAATCCAGGCTGAAGACTTTTCTCTTTGCCGCTGCTTTTAATTGAACTATTCACATCTTAAACTGCACTGTAACTTTTATTATCTTTGCTTTTTAATGAATGTTTTTAAATGCCTTTGTCTGAATGTCTTTCATTTTTGTAAAGCTCCTTGAATTGCCTTGTGTTGAAAGGTGCTATATAAATAAACTTGCCTTGCCTTGCCTGGTGTGCTCCATTTTTAACGCATGTTTTTAGCACTATCTTATTTATTTTAATCGTGTTTATATTTATTTCTTATATGTTTTTATTACTTATTACATGTTTTATCCCTTTAATGTATATATGTGCATGTATTTATCTTTTTATTGTAATCAAAGCCACTTGAGGAGGGATCCTTTCATTTATTTAATTTATTTATTACCTGGAGGCCAGCAGAACCCCCCGCAGAGAGAAACTCTTCACCAACCTGCCACCTTTTGAAATAAACAGAGCAACTCAAACACCTGTCCTTTGAAGAACCTTTTAAACTTACCCGACCTCGATCTTAGTGGTTTTTATTTCTCAGTGACATCTAGTTCATTTTTATATTATTTTACTAACCCAGTGTGCCCCCCTTCCCTCTTTTATTATAATTGTAATTGTTGGGGAGATTGTTTTAATTGCACTTATTTTATTATTGCACTTTTTTTAATACTTATACTTTCACTTTTAATTGTATTTTATGCATGGTTTTAACTAACAGAACTAGAGTCACTTTTAATTAACCATTTTAGATCCCCCCCCCATTTAAGGTATTTTTATTGATTCCATTGTGACGAGCTCCATACACACACACACATACATACACCTGCACACGCATGCACACATACACCTGCACACATACACCTGCACACATACACCTGCACACATCCACACACACCAACCCACACATACACACAAACACATACACACCCCCCTCCAGAGACCTTGGGTTGGGGAGATCTGCTTTTAAACATACTCTGCCGCCGTTCCATGGTCCAGCCCCGTCCTGCACTTTTTAACCAGTCTTTTACCACAGTTTTGTTTAAATAGAGCTTTTACAACGCTTTTAAAGGGTTTTTACAAGGTCTTTGTAGGGCTTTTAGATCGTTATGGAGTTTTTTAATGTTTTTTTTAAACACCCTAAGCTACCGAGACCCAGTGCACCACGCTCTTCCCTAACCTAACCCTAACCCTAACCAAGTCTTCACACTAACATTAATGATTCCCCTCATGGGGACCTCCATTATGTCCCCATAAGGGAGGCGAGTCCCCACACGTGACTGTGTAAACAGATGTAGGTCCCCACAAGGATAGTAATGCTAGGCCACACACACACACACACACACACACACACACACACACACACACACACACACACAAACACACACACCACACACACAAAAACACACACACACAGGTGGAGGTTTCAGTATTTGCTTTTATTGTTTGCTGAACAACATGTTTGTTGACACTCGGATGTTTGTTCGATCTTCTTTCGCCCTACATCGGTGGCGGTAGATCGACCGCCATTTCTAGAGAGGATTTCTTATGACAGAAATCTGTGAGGAAACAAAATCAGTGAGTCAGCAGAGGACTCTTTAAAGTAGAGACACTACATACTGATATACACCTGAACATCAGCAGGAGAGGACTCTTTAAAGTAGAGACACTACATACTGATATACACCTGAATATCAGCAGGAGAGGACTCTTTAAAGTAGAGACACTACATACTGATATACACCTGAACATCAGCAGGAGAGGACTCTTTAAAGTAGAGACACTACATACTGATATACACCTGAACATCAGCAGGAGAGGACTCTTTAAAGTAGAGACACTACATACTGATATACACCTGAACATCAGCAGGAGAGGACTCTTTAAAGTAGAGACACTACATACTGATATACACCTGAACATCAGCAGGAGAGGACTCTTTAAAGTAGAGACACTACATACTGATATAAATATTTACCTGCGACTCCATCGTAGATGTACGGCTGGTCGTGGTCGAATCCCAAACACTCTGCCATTTTCCTGTGAGTATCGTGATCTGCTTTCATGTGATCCAAATCCTGATGGTGACCCTCCTTCCCTGAAACACACACACACACACACACACACACACACACACACACACACACACACACACACACACACACACACACACACACACACACACACACACACACACACACACACACACACACACACACCACACACACACACACAGTTTCCATGAGGAATTATTTTATTTGTTTCTGATTTAATGTACAGATCAATCTATGAATACTATACCAAAGATACTATACTGTACTATCCACTTCATTATATTATAAAATACTATACTACAGAAAACTGTTTTCTATAATATACTCTCCTTTACTATACAACACAATGTTATACTGTTCTCTATACTATAATTTAAGCTACGGTTTTAAACATTTCTATAGTATACTTTAATATACATGACTACTATACTATATTATACGATACAACATTTCATACAGCAAACTAGTTTACACTATACTAAAAATGCAATAATATATACGATATAATACTACATGCTTATATATCTATACTGAAGATAATATCATACTACACTATATACAGTAGTGTGTGTGTGTGTGTGTGTGTGTGTGTGTGTGTGTGTGTGTGTGTGAGTGTGTGTGTATTTACTGTAGTTCATCAGGTAGTTCCCCATCGACTTCGACTTGATCACAATCATCATGCAGTTAGGACACGTCTCGTAGAAATTCACAATCGCGGTTTCATTGTAGGGACTGAGGACTCCATCAACCTCAATCTCTGACACACACACACACACACACACACACACACACACACACACACACACACACACACACACACACACACACACACACACACACAAATACATGACAGTTACATCAACCGTGAATATGCTGTTTTATCTTTCTAAAATAAACAAAACGTACTTGTGTGTGTGTGTGTCTGTGTGAGTGTGTGAGTGTGTGTGTTTGTGTGTGTGTGTGTCTGTGTGAGTGTGTGTGTGTGTGCTTGTGTGTGTGTGTGTGTGTGTTTGTGAGTGTGTGTGTGTTGTGTGTGTGTGAGTGTGTGTGTGTTTTGAGTTGTGTGTGTGTGTGTGTTTTGTTTGGGAGTGTGTGTGTGTGTGCTTGTGTGTTGTGTGTGTTGTTTTGTGTGTGTGGTGTGTTTTGTTTTGTGTGTTTTGTTTTTTCTGTGTGTGTTTGTTAGTCTTGTTTTGTGTGTGTGTGTATTGTGTTTGTGTTTGTGTGTAGTGTGTGTGTTTGTGTGTGTGTGGGTTTGTGAGTGTGTGTGTGTGTGCTTGTGTGTGTTTGTGAGTGTGTGTGTGTGTGTGTTTGTGCGTGTGTGTGTTTGTGTGTGTGGTTTGTGATGCTGTAGTGGAGTGTTGGTGGTGTGTTGTGAGGTTGTGTGTGTTTGTGAGCATGTGTCGTTGTAGTGTGTGTGTTTGTGAATGTGTGTGTTGCTGGTGTTACTTGTGTGTGTGTTGTGTGTGCTGGTGTGTGATTGTGTGTGTGTCGCTGCGTGTGTGTGTACTGTGTGGTGTGCGTTTGTTTGAGTGGTGTTGTGTGGCTTGTGGTGTGCTACTTGTGTGTGTGTGTGTGTGTGTGTGTGTGTGTGTGTGTGGGTGTGTGTGTGTGTGTGTGTGTGTGTGTGTGTGACTCACTGCTTTCGGTGGGGTGCATTCTTTGGTTGGGGTTGTGCAGGAGCTCCATGGACATGTTGATGTAGTTCTTGATGCAGTTGTTGTCACTAAAACACACACCAGTTAGAAATACACAACATACACACACTACACACCAGAGAACTACATTAAATATATACATTATCATTTTATTAAATTAATCGATTCATTGTTAAAATTGCTTTTTATATTTCTACGTTTCTATTAACATATTTAATCTATTTTTCTCTCTTCATGAACTCATTATATTTAACCTGTTTGAGTCTTTTTTATTCACTTTTCATATTTTCCAGATGTTTTTATTTACAAATTATTATTATATATATATATATATATATTTTATATTAATATTTTACTTTTACTTTTCTGTGATTTATTATTGTTTTTTATATTTTTAAATTGGGCCATTCACATATTCAATCTATAATGTCCTTCTATTCATATTTCCACATTTGTATTTATATGTGTTATTTCTGACCTGAAGCGCTTCCTCTTGCTGAACATCAGGGTCTGATTGTCCTCCTGAAGTCTCATCTCTACATGGGAGCTGCTGAGGTTCTTCAGGAGGTCCTGACCATGTTGGTGGTCCGAAACCGACCAGACCAGGACCCAGTCCCCCAAAATCTGTAGACCAGCAGGGAATAATTAACATAGATAAAATGTTTTATGGTCTTATTTTAACAATGTGATCACATGACTCCTTCTGACTGACTAGAATGAGTTGACCAAAAGAAAAAAGTTGACCAAAAACATTTTGACAAAAAAAAAAGTAAACTACAAAAATTAAAAGTCAACTACAAAAAAAGTTGACCAAAAGAAAGTTGACTAGTTGACAATAGCTGCCCACTGCTCCTGGTGCTAGACTCCTGGTGCTAGACTCCTGGTGCTAGACTCCTGGTGCTAGGATGGGTTAACCGCAGAGAACACATGTCACTCTGTGCTCTGCATGTGAGACCATTAAAGAGGGTTCTTTCTTTCTTTCTAAAACCTCTTTAGTAACATACGTAGTATATATACATTTCCTTGACAAGAACTTAACAACTCTTCGTATTCTGCACAAAAATGTGTGTTATAGTGAACCAAAAGTCGTGATAGAGATGTTGCTTGTCAACATCTGGGTATTTCTGCACTGGTGGGCCATGTTAACAATAGCGTGTCCCTGTGACGCTCTGAGGGGTGAAACCGTGTCCTCCTGACGTCTCACAGCGTGGAGCAAAGTGACACACGTCTGTCCTGATACTGGGTTGATTTTATCATCTAAAAATATTTGTTTACTTTGCAAACAAAGTGCCACAATAAAGACAACTGTTAAACACAGAGAAATAACAAATCCAAATAAACTAATGAGAGCAGAGACGCCTCCTGCAGACAGACGTCAGTGTCCTGATGCGTTCAAGTTCATACTTTAATAGGAATTACCCCCTTTCTCCTGAAGGGAGACTTTTGGGCGTGTTAGCACCTGTGAGACACCGTAAAATAAATGATGGGTCTCACCTGCTGCACGTCGTCTTCGCCATACATCTTCAGGACCTGGCAGTGATCGGGGTCCGCAGGCTTTTGATCCGTGTGATTGTGATTGTGATCGTGATCGTGATCGTGATCGTGATCGTGATCGTGATCGTGATGGTGGTCTGGCTTCGCGTTAGCAACAGCTAGCAGCAGCAGCAGCAGCGCTCCCTTTAAGACTTTCATCCTGAGACACAAATCAAAAAACCAAATGCACCCTCTGGTATCTGTGAAGACACTGATCCAGGAGACGGCTGAACGGTTTATATACCGAGCTCCAGAGACCCGAGAGACCCCGAGCCAGGACAAAGTCTGTGTGCTCAGAGTGTTATTGAACTCTGATATAACTCCTGGCCCACTTTCTTAATGTGTAAAAAGGTTAAAAACACAGCGAGGCGGACAGCCATGGTCTCACGTCTCACATCTTATATCATATAGCAGTTTGTTTGTATGTATGTATTTGTGTATAGATGTTGCAACTATGCAGAGCTTTAGCAATACTGTATGTAACTATGGTCATGCTAATAAAGCTGTTGAATTGAATTGAATTAAAATGAATTGAATTGAAATGAATTGAATTGAAATGAATTGTATTGAATTGAATTGAATTGAAATTAATTGAATTGAATTGACTGCAGAGAAACACTGAACATCTGAAACATAAAATACAGCAGGAAGTTGTTACAACACATCTCTTAACAATAAACAATGTTTTTATATCTGCATAATTTCTGAAGCTGCAGAGTTTCTGGTGATGATGGAGAGGTCTGTCCCTGCAAGGCCACCGTAGAAACCGTTTCAAGATTATATTTGGTGTTACTTTTAAAAATAAAACACTAAAATAATAAAATAAAAATACAAAATAATCAAATATAAAAAATTGAGTTCACTTCATATTTTGGTGTGTTTTGTATTTTATTCCTATACCATATTTTTTATATTAATAAAAGTATGTTTATAAATGTTAAATGTTTAAATATGATGTGGCTATTTTTTGTATTATTATTTTTTATTTTGCAGCACACGTTTTGTAGTTCCTGCATTAATTGTACAAACAGCATTAATCTTATTAACATATTTTAGGGTTTCATTATCGAATTATCTCGTGGAATAAATGGGTTAATAGAAGGATTAAGCAACATAAAAATATCCGTGTTTTTTAATAATGAACGTGAACTGGAGGTTTTTCCATGAAAGCTGCCGGTTAAAGTCTAACGGACAAACACACCAACGTCCGCCGACACACACTGACAAACAAACACACCAACGTCCGCCTACACACACTGACAAACAAACACACCAACGTCCGCCTACACACACTGACAGACAAACACACCAATGTCCGCCTATACACACTGACAAACACACACACACACACACACACACACACACACACACACACACACACACACACACACACACACACACACACAGACACACAAACACACACACACACATACACACACACACACACACGCACAGACACACATAGACAAACAAACACACACATATACATAGACACACACACACACACACACACACACACACACACACACACACACACGCACACACACACACACACACACACACACACACACACACACACACACACACACACACACACACAAACACACACACACATCCAAAGTCAAACCAGGTTTTGGCATCTTATACTCCATTTATACGAGACGGCTTGGTGTCATTGGTAGGTAGTGATGTCAGAGTTCCAATCAAAATCTTGCGGGACACAGGGGCTTTTGACTTCTATATTGTTGACTCTGTTTTGCCGTTGTCTGGTGAAAGTGACACAGGTGACACAGTTCTGAGTTGGGGGATGGGATTAAAAGTTCTTCCTATTCCTGTTCATAAGGTGTATATTGACTGTGACCTTGTTAAAGGTGAAGTAGCTGTTGGTGTACATTCAGCTTTGCCAATCGAGGGGATACATTTTATTCTGGGCAACGGTTTGGCAGGTGGCAGAATCTGGACTGATGTTCCCCCTGCGCCTTTAGTGACTGGTGGTCTGATTGAGTCTGGGTTTGAGGAGAGCTCTACAGTGGTGCCAGAGGTCACGTCCTCCTGCGTGATCCCGTGTGCTATGGCCAAAGCTATGCTGTGTAGAAGCCAGAAGGCCAGGCATTGCTCCACTGGTCGGGGTGGTTGTGGTGGCGGCGGCTTTGATGGTGTTCGTGGTGGTGGCGGCTTTGATGGTGGTCGTGGTGGTGGCGGCTTTGATGGTGGTCGTGGTGGCGGCGGCTTTGATGGTGGTCGTGGCGGCAGCGGCAGCAGGGGTCGAGGACGTGGCAAGAATCTCACCGGTGGATATCGATTTTATGGCTTTCCAAAATTTTCTAGGATTATTTAGGTTTTCTGTAGTAACTGACAAATAGTACTTCGACTTAGCACTTTTGACCTGTGAAGTGAAGCTATTTCTTAGCTGCCTAAAACGCAGCCATTCTACCTCTGAGCCTGATTTCCTAGCCTTTGCCCAGGCCTTGTTTCTCTCATTCAGGAGACTGGACAGTTCAGCAGGAAACCAAGGATTGTCTCGTCCCTTTACTCTAAATGTACGTAGGGGTGCATGTCTATCAATGATCTCCATAAAACCAAGATACAAATAAGACCATGCAGTTCTACATCAGCACACAGATCGATTTTTCCCCAATCAAACCCAAACAGATCATGAACAAAACCCTGCTCCACAAAATGTTTTATGTGTCTCTTAATAATAATACGAGGTTTAACCTTTTGGACCTTAGTGTCCCTAATTGTGTCTACAGCACAGTGGTCACTCACATCATTTGCAAATACTCCCACAGATGAGTATTTATAGGGAACATTAGTTAGAATGAGATCAATTAGGGAGGATTTATTAGGGGACTTAATGTTAGGGCGAGTAGGACTGTCAACAATCTGAGTAACATTCAGAGAGATACAAAGGTTTTTAAAATCCTCTGATACTGCAGTTAACCAGTCCCAGTTAAAATCTCCAAGTAGCACTATTTCCTTATAGTCAAGTTGCGATAAAAGTTTTGCTAGTGAAGACAAGGAGTCCTTGACAGCTGAGGGGGTCTGTAACAGCCCACCACCATGACTTGTTGCCCCTTTGCCACTTCTATATTTAAGGCTAAACATTTGAATTGCTTACTGATAGATTTGGAAACTAATGTGGTTACACTGAAGTTATTCTTAACATAAATGGCAACGCCACCACCTTTATTAGGCCGGTCGGTACGATACACATTATAACCATTTAAGGATATGTCAGAGGCCAAAATAGTTTTATTTAGCCATGTTTCTGATAACACAATGACGTCAGCGTCAGTCGAGCTTGCCCAAATGCGGACAAAATCTAGTTTACCTAACAGACTGCGCACATTCAAGTGGATGAAACCCAACCCAGACCTAGCTTTAAAATCAGCAGGAGTAGCGATCTGACTACTACTACTGGGCGGACCAGGGTTAGGTTGAACATTTCCTGACAGTAATAACAACAAAAAAAACAGGCATCTTTTCCTCTTAATCGACACACATACATTATCATCTACTTTAGAATCACCGGAAAAGTCTGCGAGAGTTTGATTAGAGTTTAAGAAGCAGTCCTGAAGTACCATCATCGCAGGCAAACAAAAAAGACAAACATATTTTGTCGAGCAGATTGTCTGCGACAAGGCAACCGGTAACTGTTTGTGTAACACATCCGACCCTTTGCAGGGGATGCCCACTGCGGGTGGCAGAACAGACCTGAATCCAGTAGACTTCTCAGAATGACTAGAGATCTTCTCATAGTCCAGAACAGTTAACAGGCACAGCAGAATCACGATATGGGCCATTTCCCCAGCCCAGCACACAGTATCCGCGATGTTCCTGGGGCAAAAATCCTCCTCCTCACAGCAGCAAAGGACAGGCGAAAGCAGCAGCGTGGAAGCGCTCCGGTCTCTCCGTGGTATCCCCGGGGTAAAAGGTCTCCTCAGCAAAGCAGCGACACTGCAGCACACGACAGGTGGGAGCAGGCCTCCGCAACAGCAGAACCAGGACAGGTGGAAAGCAGGCCTCAGCCGCGGCAAATCCTCCTCCGCACAGCAGCACACGCCCGGTGGAAGCAGGCCCCAGCCCGAAGCGTGGAGCCACTCCGTCTCACCGCGATGTCTCCGGGATAAAATCCTCCTCAGTACAGCCGTACTCTACAGGTGGGAGCAGGCCTCCGCAGATCGTAGATGACCTGATTGTGGTTTCAGTAGTGTTGTTGGGGAGATTGTTTAAATTGCACTTATTTTATTATTGCACTTTTTTTAATACTTATACTTTCACTTTTAATTGTATTTTATGCATGGTTTTAACTAACAGAACTAGAGTCACTTTTAATTAACCATTTTAGATCCCCCCCCCATTTAAGGTATTTTTATTGATTCCATTGTGACGAGCTCCATACACACACACACATACATACACCTGCACACGCATGCACACATACACCTGCACACATCCACACACACCAACCCACACATAGGCAAGGCAAGGCAAGGCAAGGCAAGGCAAGGCAAGGCAAGGCAAGGCAAGGCAAGGCAAGGCAAGGCAAGGCAAGGCAAGGCAAGGCAAGGCAAGGCAAGGCAAGGCAAGGCAAGGCAAGGCAAGTTTATTTATATAGCACCTTTCAACACAAGGCAATTCAAAGTGCTTTACAAAAATGGAAGACATTAAGAAAATGGCATTTAAAATCAGTCATTAAAAAGCAAAGATAATAAAATAAACATTAAAAGAAAAAATACATGGATAAAAGTTACAGTGCAGTTTGAGATGTAAATAGTTCAATTAAAAGCAGCGGCAAAAAGAAAAGTCTTCAGCCTGGATTTAAAAGTAGTAAGAGTTGCAGCGGACCTGCAGGTTTCTGGGAGTTTGTTCCAGATATTTGGAGCATAATAACTGAATGCTGCTTCTCCATGTGTAGTTCTGACTCTGGGGACAGAAAGCTGACCAGTCCCTGAAGACCTGAGAGTTCTGGATGGTTCATAATTTAGCAGTAGGTCAGACATGTATTTTGGGCCTAAACCATTCAAAGCTTTATAAACCAGCAACAATATTTTGAAATCTATTCTTTGACACACAGGAAGCCAGTGTAAGGACTTCAGAACAGGAGTGATGTGATCCACTTTCTTAGTGTTAGTGAGGACTCGAGCAGCGGCGTTCTGAATCAGCTGCAGCTTTCTAATAGATTTTTTAGTGAGACCTGTAAAGACACCATTGCAGTAGTCGAGTCTACTGAAGATAAAAGCATGGACAAGTTTTTCCAAATCCTGCTGTGACATTAGTCTTTTAATCCTAGATATGTTCTTTAAGTGATAGTAGGCTGATTTAGTAACTGTTTTAATGTGACTGTTGAAACTCAGGTCAGAGTCCATGACTTCACCTAGATTTCTGGCTCTATCTGTTGTTTTGAACATTGCAGACTGAAGCTCAGCGCTAACTTTTATACGTTCTGCCTTGGCTCCAAAAACCATTACCTCAGTTTTATCTTTGTTTAATTGGAGAAAGTTCTGACACATCCAGTCATTGATTTGTTCAATGCACTTGCTCAGTGTTTGAATTGGAGCATAATCTCCTGGTGAAATTGTTACGTAAAGTTGTGTGTCATCTGCATAGCTATGGTAACTTATTTTGTTGTTTTTCATTATCTGAGCCTGTGGTAGCATGTAGATGTTAAAGAGAAGAGGCCCCAAGATGGAGCCTTGAGGTACCCCACATGTCATATTTGTCAACTCAGATGTGTATTTACTAGGGCTGTCAAGTTAACGCGTTAATAACGGGAGGACCGGGAGGGTGTGTATGTGTGGGGCGACTCGCGCGAGCGAGGCACACCTTACGTGTTGTTGTTGTTAGCATCTGGTGCTAGCTAGCTGCGCTAACGGATATAAGGAGCTGTTTCAATGACATTTTGCCGACAACTGCGCAGAGCACTTGACTTTATGCAGGCAGCCAGACAGTGGGACATTGTACGAAAAGTCAGCACACTCAGCACGGATAGTACGCGCAACATGATTGCAGCTCCCGTTCGAGCATATATGCCTTGAGCTGCACATACTGTAGCTCCAACGATCCATCACAGTGTCTCCCCACACACACACACACACACACACACACACACACACACACACACACACACACACACACACACACACACACACACACACACACACACACACACACACACACACACACACACACACACACACACACACACACACACACACACACACACACACTTTGTATTGTATTATTGTATGAGAGAGGTTCCAGGTTGAATTGAGGCGAATATTTGTAATGTTCAGAGGTTGTTGTGTTTAATATTCATGAGAATATTTGTCATTGTTCAAATGATAATAAACAAACATATAAAGCATATTTGTCCACTCATATGTTGATAAGAGTATTAAAAACTTGAAAAATATCCCTCTAAGGTACATTTAGAACAGATACAAAATGTGCGATTAATTTGCGATTAATCGCGATTAACTATGGACAATCATGCGATTAATCGCGATTAAATATTTTAATCGACTGACAGCCCTAGTATTTACCTATAGAAACAAAGTTTTTTCTGTCCTTTAAGTAGGACTCAAACCAATTTAGAACTGTTGCCGAAAGTCCCACCCAGTTTTCTAGTCGGTCTAGTAATATGTTGTGGTCAACAGTGTCAAACGCAGCACTGAGATCTAATAATACTAACACTGAAGTTCTGCCACTGTCTGTGTTTAAGTGGATGCCATTGAAGACCTTTACAAGAGCAGTCTCAGTGCTGTGGTTTGGACGAAATCCTGACTGGATCACATCCAAAGAGTTATTTAAATGCAAGAAGTTACTCAACTGTTGAAATACAACTTTTTCAATGATTTTACCTAGAAATGGCAGGTTTGATATTGGCCTGTAATTGTTCATTACTGAAGCATCTAGATTATTATTTTTTAAGAGCGGTTTAATGACTGCAGTTTTCAGGGCCTCTGTAAAAATACCTGAGTGAAGAGATGTGTTTACTATATGAAGTAGATCTGAGGCCATGCAATGAAAAACATCTTTGAAAAATCCCGTTGGAATAATATCAAGGCAGCAGGAGGAGGATTTCAGAAGTTGAATAATGTCCTCTAAGTTTTTATCATTAATCTGATGGAATTGTGTCATGGTGTTTAATTGATATTAGGTGGACATAGGGACAACACATTTTCTGTACCTGATGCAGAGGCACTGACTGCTTGTCTAATTTTCTGAATTTTGTCAGTGAAGAAGGAGGCAAAATCATTGCATGCCCTGGTGGATAGAAATTCAGAGGCGACTGACACTGGGGGGTTAGTTAGTCTGTCGACGGTAGCAAACAAGGCACGTGCGTTGTTTTTGTTTTTGGTAATGATGTCAGAGAAGAAAGACTGTCGTGCGTTTTTCAATTCCAAATTATAAAGGCCAAGTCTCTCTTTATAGATTTCAAAGTGAACCTGGAGATTTGTTTTTCGCCACCTACGTTCAGCTTTTCGACACTCTCTTTTTTCTGTTCTCACGGTCATGGCCTTTCTCCATGGAGATATTTTCTTGCCAATCACTTCCACTATACACACAAACACAAACACATACAGATGGAGCATCTTATTCAGACTCCAGCTTACTGCTTCCTGCCTACTACCTGCCAGTTACCTGCCTAAGACCTACCAAAGACCAGTATCTGGGAATGTTAAGCCCTCCCACTATTTTCCAAGAGGGCGTTGCCAGATTTTCAATTTCAAGATTTAACCAGGAGATGGCGCTTCCTTCACAAAAACAGGAAGATAACTTTCATGGACTTTCAGTTTTGTTTAGAAGAGCATTTGAACACATCAATATTTTAGATGAAATAAAGTATATCTAATCTTGTAATTCAATAATATATAGTCTTTATATATTAAATAAATGCAGATATTATATAAAAAACTAAAGTTAAAATCTTGTTTTTAATGCCCCAAGAGCAATAAAAACACTTGGTAAAAAAATCCTGAGTGAGGCTTTCATAAATTGCATTTAACTGATGCTTTTATCCAAAGCGACTTACTATTTAATAAATGATAAATGATTATTCATAACAAATATGACTGATGTGTGATTATTATTCATGCTATATACTGATATAGGGCTAAGTAAGCAATCAATCCTGCAAATTTACCCTTAGTTGTTCAATATATTTATTCAGACAATGTGAGTAGAAATACAGAAATTCTGCTCCCACCTAAGGCCAACGTTGCAATATTACAACATTTCCCTAAAAACTTACCAAAACATAAACATTTTTAAAACTCTTTCATTTCTGCTCCAGAGGCCAGGGGTTAAATTGGGAATTTGACATGTGGGGGGGCTCTGTTAGAAGGTGCGACGGGGGGGGTGTTGTCAGCCGACACACACACACACACACACACACACACACACACACACACACACACACACACACACACACACACACACACACACACACACACACACACACACACACACACACACACACACACACACACACACACACACACACACACACACACACACACACACACACACACACACACACACACACACACACACACACACACACACACACACACACACACACACACACACACACGTGGAGGTTTCAGTATTTGCTTTTATTGTTTGCTGAACAACATGTTTGTTGGCACTCGGATGTTTGTTCGATCTTCTTTCGTCCTACATCGGTGGCGGTAGATCGACCGCCATTTCTAGAGAGGATTTCTTATGACAGAAATCTGTGAGGAAACAAAATCAGTGAGTCAGCAGAGGACTCTTTAAAGTAGAGACACTACATACTGATATACACCTGAATATCAGCAGGAGAGGACTCTTTAAAGTAGAGACACTACATGCTGATATACACCTGAACATCAGCAGGAGAGGACTCTTTAAAGTAGAGACACTACATACTGATATACACCTGAACATCAGCAGGAGAGGACTCTTTAAAGTAGAGACACTACATACTGATATACACCTGAACATCAGCAGGAGAGAACTCTTTAAAGTAGAGACACTACATACTGATATACACCTGAACATCAGCAGGAGAGGACTCTTTGAAGTAGAGACACTACATACTGATATACACCTGAACATCAGCAGGAGAGGACTCTTTAAAGAAGAGACACTACATACTGATATACACGTGAACATCAGCAGGAGAGGACTCTTTAAAGTAGAGACACTACATACTGATATACACGTGAACATCAGCAGGAGAGGACTCTTTAAAGTAGAGACACTACATACTGATATACACCTGAACATCAGCAGGAGAGGACTCTTTAAAGTAGAGACACTACATACTGATATAAATATTTACCTGCGACTCCATCGTAGATGTACGGCTGGTCGTGGTCGAATCCCAAACACTCTGCCATTTTCCTGTGAGTATCGTGATCTGCTTTCATGTGATCCACATCCACACACACACACACACACACACACACACAGTTTAGTTTCCATGAGGAATTATTTTATTTGTTTCCGATTTAATGTACAGATCAATCTATGAATACTATACCAAAGATACTATACCGTACTATCCACTTCATTATATTATAAAATACTATACTACAGAAAACTGTTTTCTATAATATACTCTCCTTTACTATACAACACAATGTTATACTGTTCTCTATACTATAATTTAAGCTACTGTTTTAAACATTTCTATAGTATATTTTAATATACATGACTACTATACTATATTATACGATACAACATTTCATACAAACTAGTTTATACTATACTAAAAATGCTATAATATATACGATATAATACTACATGCTTATATATCTATACTGAAGATACTATATCATACTACACTATATACAGTAGTGTGTGTGTGTGTGACTGTGTGTGTGTGTGAGTGTGTGTGTGTGTGTTTACTGTAGTTCAGCAGGTAGTTCCCCATCGACTTCGTATTGAACACCATCATCATGAAGTTAGGACACGTCTCGTAGAAATTCACAATCGCGGTGTCATTGTAGGGACTGAGGACTCCATCAACCTCAATCTCTGACACACACACACACACACACACACACACACACACACACAAACAAACAAACAAACAAACACACACACACAGACACACAAACACACACACACATCCAAAGTCAAACCAGGTTTTGGCATCTTATACTCCATTTATACGAGACGGCTTGGTGTCATTGGTAGGCAGTGATGTCAGAGTTCCAATCAAAATCTTACGGGACACAGGGGCTTTTGACTTCTATATTGTTGACTCTGTTTTGCCGTTGTCTGGTGAAAGTGACACAGGTGACACAGTTCTGAGTTGGGGGATGGGATTAAAAGTTCTTCCTATTCCTGTTCATAAGGTGTATATTGACTGTGACCTTGTTAAAGGTGAAGTAGCTGTTGGTGTACGTTCAGCTTTGCCAATCGAGGGGAAACATTTTATTCTGGGCAACGGTTTGGCAGGTGGCAGAATCTGGACTGATGTTTCCCCTGCGCCTTTAGTGACTGGTGGTCTGATTGAGTCTGGGTTTGAGGAGAGCTCTACAGTGGTGCCAGAGGTCACGTCCTCCTGCGTGATACCGTGTGCTATGGCCAAAGCTATGCTGTGTAGAAGCCAGAAGGCCAGGCATTGCTCCACTGGTCGGGGTGGTTGTGGTGGCGGCGGCTTTGATGGTGGTCGTGGTGGCGGCGGCTTTGATGGTGGTCGTGGTGGCGGCGGCTTTGATGGTGGTCGTGGCGGCGGCGGCTTTGATGGTGGTCGTGGCGGCAGCGGCAGCAGGGGTCGAGGACGTGGCAAGGAGATGTTCTGTTATCGGTGTGGAGATCAAGGACATTTGGCCAGGGACTGTGACCAAACGGAGGATGTGTGCTACAACTGCAACAAACCAGGCCACATGGCTCGTGACTGTGGGCATGCCAACGACCGGAGGTGCTTCTCCTGCGGGGGGCTTGGTCACATCCAGAGACGTTGTGAGAAGGTGGTATATTGTTATTAGGGTTCGTTGAGACGGGGTGCCAGATGTATGTTTTGTTTTCTATGACTTTTTGTTTTTGTTTGGGATGGGGTTGGTTCGTTGTGCCGGTGGTCCGGGGGACACCGACTTTAAGGGGGGGGGGTGTGACGACCCCTGCTTTAAGGTCTCCTGTGGTGTGTGTGTATGGCCCTTTAATGTTCCTCCTCTGCTTGTGTCCGTCTGATTGAGGACACCTGACGCCCTGATTGAGGACACCTGACGCCCTGATTGAGGACACCTGACGCCCTGATTGAGGACACCTGACGGCTGGCAGAGGATTAAGAGGCCTGAGCCAGAGTCTCGATCTCTCTCTCCCGCAGAGGACCTGACCTCGGAGCAGCCACGTCGCTTCGTCTTTTGTTTTTCCTTTGTGTTAGTTTTTGGTTTACGTTAAGCTTCTGTTAATAAATATATTTTTCATATATGTTCTCGTCCTTCCCACGCTTTTTGTTATGGCTAAGAGCCAGGCCATGACAGTATGTATGTATTTGTGTATAGATGTTGCAACTATGCAGAGCTTTAGCAATACTGTATGTAACTATGGTCATGCTAATAAAGCTGTTGAATTGAATTGAATTAAAATGAATTTATTTGACTGCAGAGAAACACTGAACATCTGAAACATAAAATACAGCAGGAAGTTGTTACAACACATCTCTTAATAATAAACAATGTTTTTATATCTGCATAATTTCTGATGCTGCAGAGTTTCTGGTGATGATGGAGAGGTCTGTCCCTGCAAGGCCACCGTAGAAACCGTTTCAAGATTATATTTGGTGTTACTTTTAAAAATAAAACTCTAAAATAATCAAATATGAAAAATTGAGTTCACTTCATATTTTGGTGTGTTTTGTATTTTATTCCTATACCATATTTTTTATATTAATAAAAGTATGTTTGTTTGTTTGTTTGTAGCCTTTATTTAACCAGGTTAAAAAATCCCATTGAGATCAACGATCTCTTTTTCAAGGGAGACCTGCGGTACATTAGTTACACATAAAAACAAACAGAAAACAAAAGGACATCACAACATAATTACAGGGGTATAAGTAGTATTACAAATGCCCCTTCAATCACATTAGTATGCATAAAAAGTGACAGGTCACACCTGCCTCATCAGTACTACTACTTATGCTAATGAGCCCCTTTGATATGCTAATGAGCCCCTTTGTTCGAGGTGTTATCACATGTAGGTGTGATATTCCCCCATTGTAGTAGATCCTTTGTTGTGTAATCTAATTAGCCTTTGATGTCTGATCCCTTTGTCTATCCTTTTGATGTGAGGGGTGAGGTGTTTGTGACATGTAGGTGTGAACTCCCCATTGTAGTAGATCCTTTGTTGTGTAATCTAATTAGCCTTTGATGTCTGACCCCTTTGTTGTCTAATCTAATTATCCTTTGATGTGAGGGGTGAGGTGTTTGTAACATGTAGGTGTGAACTCCCCATTGTAGTAGATCCTTTGTTGTGTAATCTAATTAGCCTTTGATGTCTGCCCCCTTGATGTCTATCCTTTGATGTGAGGGGTGAGGTGTTTGTAACATGTAGGTGTGATATTCTCCCTTGTAGTAGATCCTTTGATGTCTAATCTAATTAGCCTTTGATGTATGTCCTTTGATGTGAGGGTGGTGAGATGTTGTAACATGTCTCGCACTCCATCCCCCTCGCACCCCTTCCTGTCACCCCATCCCCCTCGCACCCCGTCCCCCTCGCACCCCTTCCTTTTGCTGTGATGTCAGAAGATAGAGGTGGGGATGGAGCTAGGTAAAAAAAAAGAAATCCGTGCAAACTAGATAAAAAGCCAGTCATTTCCACTCACCAAGTCACCTAAACTTTCAAAAACGAAAATGGCAAAGAGACGCATCGATATGGGTTTAATCAGTGAGACGCCTGTGACAACTTACCGCCATCCGTCGGGAGCTCCAGTCAAGAAACGGACGCAGTATCTGTGCCGGGTTCAGACCCTCCGTCGGAAGCTCTTCATGAAAAATGGAGTCTGGATGTGTGAGACTGTCTCCCCTCACACCCCCTCCCTCCCCCTCCCCTCCCCCCTGCCCGTCACCTCCTGATGTGGCTATCAGCCATTAATTTTCACTCACCAAGTCACCTAAAACGTTTATTGTCCTCTCTAAATTAGATTAGTTTTAATATGATTTGTGTTAACTATGGATGTGCTCTTAAGTTGTAGGGCTTGTGAACTAATGTTTAATTATTTTACTAACTACAACAAAGTCTCTTTGAGAGGAAAATAATAATTTAAAGATCTTAATGACCCCCTGATCTTGTCTTTTTATTGTTTAATTACTTCACACAACTATTAATGAATCCCTATATGAAGTTACATGAGGCTACATTTACTGGTGTTGAGCCCTGGATGATGAAAATAATCTAAGTGTCATGTTAGGGGGACATTACGGAACTCAGGAGCCCGCCCTTGGAGGCTTGGAGAGTGGATAAAGAGAGCTGTATTTACTGGTGTTGAGCCCTGGATGTTAGGATTATGTTTTAAACAGGACCCAGGCGCAGGCAATGACTGGAGATGTTTAAAAGGTTTATTGTTCTGAGACTCAGGCGGGTTTGGAGACTATGGAGGTCCGGAGTGGAGGTAGGCAGTTCAGGCTGGACTGAGAACAGGGCAGGCAGGTATGGTGAAGGAAGAAGCAGGCAGGTTGGCTGGAAGCTCTGGTGGCCGATGGCTGAGGGATCGTACTGGAAGTACAAGGAGAAACTAATTACAAAAAGTACAGAATAACACGCAGACAGGATAACTGAAATGAGCAGCCAGGAGGATGCAATACCACTGGTGTAGAAAACAATCTGGCGGTGAGTTGCTGGGAGACTGGAGTAGATATGCTGTGTCTTGATTGGATTGATGAGGGACAGCTGAGCCGGTCGGCCAGGTGAGTGCAATCAGGCTGCTGCCTGCAAGGGAAACCACACCCCCTCCACACACACAGGGGAACAAACAGGGACACACAGGGACACAGTTTGGGCCGTGACAGTACCCCCCCCTCAACGGGAGCCTCCAGGCGAACCACCAGGCTTGTCTGGGTGGTCTCTGTGAAAGTCCCGAATGAGAGAGGGACCTAGAATGAGCTTGCGGGACACCCAGCTCCTCTCCTCAGGACCATAACCCTCCCAATCGACCAGATACTGGTACCCACGGCCCCGGCGGCGAATGTCCAACAGCCGCCGGACCGTGTAGGCCGGGTGGTCATCAATAACAAGGGTGGGTGGAGGGGAGATGGCTGGAGGGCACAAAGGGCTGGAAAACACTGGTTTCAACTGGGACACATGAAAGGTAGGGTGAATTCTCATGGAGGGAGGCAGCTTGAGTCTAACAGCAGATGGATTGATTATGCGCTCGATCACATAGGGACCAATGAAGCGTGGTTTCAACTTCTTAGACTCAGCTTGTAAAGAA